GGGGGGGGGGGGAGTTCTTACGGGGAGAAAGCGATGGGAGTGGGGCGAAAGCCTACTTTTGCAGCACTGATGCCTATGTCGCTGAGGGGGGGGAGGGCGAAAAACCCCTCCCATCCCCATCCCCCGCCCCTCGGCTCCGTCCACAGCCGAACTCTAAACCAGAACAAGTACACCAAATATTCCTAGCAAAAATCTATTTCCATGCGATGCAAAGACATGCTGTATGTGTGGTGGCACTGAATCGGGGCACAGCTCTCAGCAGCAGCAGCAGGAGGCAGGATGGTGTGTGTGTGTGTGTGTGTGTGTGTGTGTGTGCACACAGGAGCAATGGAAAAAGGGCAAAATGATGAATCTCGAAGACTAACAGGTTCCCGGCGGAGCACGTGTGTCTATTTCGAGAGTGAACCAAAGAACAGAGCTGGGAATGGGGCGGGGCCGGGGCAGACCAAAGTCCACTCAATCGCCGTGTCCATCTCTTCTTCGATGCACCAACAAAACCCACTGATACGATCTCTTCGAGGCAAACAGGAGAACTATGGTTTATTCCAGGCATATATATACGCATATAAATATGGGCGGGTCTAAGAGGGAGGGGCGGGGAATCTTCCCGGATGCGGGGGGAGGGACGTCCTCCCTTCCCCAGCCCCTCCAGCGGCACATGCACCAGTGCTGCAAACGCCCAAGTCTGTTCATCAAGTAAAACTGAAGTAACTGCAAGTAACAGTGTATTTCAACTCTATTCCTAGTTTTTGCGTAGTTCCAGAGCGGGGCGGGGAAAGGGGCTCTCCCATCCATCCCCTTTGCCCTCCCCCAGGAGGCCGTAGATGATACCCGAGAGCGCGGGAACGCTGGATTTGAATTCGCAAAGTCATGCGTGAGTAAAGGGTCATTACCCTAAAATTTCAGCTTCCTAGATTCCGTGATTTTCGAGATAATAACTTACCCGCCAAAATTCTCAAGGGCTCGTTCGTGATATCCGAGGGCAGGGGAAGGCTGGAATTTAAATTTTCTGAGTGGGATGTGGACAGAAGACACGCCCACAAAATTTCAGCCTTCTAGCCCCCTATGGTTCCCGTAATAATAATTTTATCCACCCATACTTTTATGGGGCCGCACGTGTTACCCGTGGGTACGGGAAGGCTGAATTTAAAATTGTTGGTTCAAACAAGGGCGGAGAACATAACTCTAAATTTTCAGCTTCCTAGCTTTTGTGGTTCCAGAGTTGAAAGTTGCGGACACACACACACACACAGACAACTCCATGATAATATGCCTTTTGTGCAGCTGCTGCACAGCACAAAATGCATAATAACTTATATATATATATATATATATATATGTATATATATAATTTAATATATCATTATTATTAAATTACACTGTTAAACAATAAATACATTATAAATCATTAATTATCAATTTGTATTATGTAATAAACTAATTAAATTGAATTATATACATGTAGTATATAAAATTTAATTTATGTATATACACACGTACATAGATTAAATTTTTGTCTTCTTTCCCAAATATCTCGCCAATCTCTTTCGACGTGGACAAATTTTATAACCACTTAGAATATCAGAATCCGAGATGAAGGATCGATCTAGGTGTCACATTTATCAACGAATATATTGAACAACAGTCCATGTTTCATCCCTTAGCTGTAAACACAAACACAGGGACCGCAGAATGCGAGTAACAGTGAAAACCATCAGTACAGCCTCCCAGCCATCATTTTCTTATGCAAATTTTGCAGGTAGGAATGGAAATCGTCAGTACAGCCTTCTACCAATTATGTATATAATAATCATTTTCTTGCCCCGTACGATCATTATCATTTCCTCTTCGTAACTTTCAAATGCTTTTAATTTTTTAGGCTTCACAATAATGAAGTGCTAAGTAGATCGTAGCAACTAGGTGTTGACCTTGGAAGCCTGCGACAGCAAACAATATGACAATAGGAGGAGATAATTGGCCAACGCACGGGCTGCCGTGCAAAGATGCGTTTTTTGCATAGTTCCTCGCAGGTTTTGCTGCTACCGGCACCGGCTTTTTCGGCAAAAGCTTATAGCTGAACTGTCGAAAAACACCTCCCTTGAAATTTTAACTTTCCAGCTTCCCTGGCTCCTGAGTTAGCAAATTACTGAAAAAAAATTTCATGGGCTCGTACGAGTTCAACACGCGTACCCGAGAGTTAGTTTTGAGCTGAATGAAACTTAGGTGGACGGTATATCCTCTTAAAATTACAGTCCTTTAGCTTCCGAGATACTCGAGTTATCAGCTTGCCCGAAAAAAACTTTGGCGGTCCCGTACGCGTGTACCACGCTTACCCGGTGGCTGGGTTTGAACCCACTAATACCCACTTGGACGGCGAACATCCTCCTAAGATTTCAGCGTTCTAGTTTCTCAGATACCCGAGTTATGAACTTACCCGAAAAAAATTTTGGCGGGCCCGTACGCGGGTACCATGCAGGTAATGGCGCCAATTTTGGGGATTGGGGCCCGTACGTGCAGGTAGATTAAGTTCCCAAAGTTTCAGCCCTATAGCTTTTGTAGGTCTTGAGATGAAAAACCATGACAGACGCACACACGGACACATAGACACACACAGACAACCTCTCGTCAATATGCGTTTTTCGCATTGCACAGCTGCAAAAAACGCATAATAATAATGAGATAAGACGTTTCGGTTCATTTAATTGGCGAGAATAGGCATTTTCGGGCATCTCCTTTTGCCCCCTTAAATATTGGAGTGGCTTGAGAGGTGCTCTATGTAAAAATTTTCCAATAAATTTCGAGCAGTACCTCAGCTAAGTCAAGAGTTTTTCACGACAGAAATTCGAAAAAACCTCCATGGGATAAGAAGTTTTCACTTTGTGACTTTGGTTTTGGGGCACGTCGCAAGGGCGTCACGTTCTGCTTCAGTACGTAGCCGCAGCAGAAATTCGATTTTCTCGGGAGATTTTCACACAGACCGGGTGTTTTGTACATTAGAAAAGGGAGTGTTTGATTGCGGGGACGTCCAAAGGTGGTGCGGAAAAGATGGTACGAATCAGTCGCGTGGTACCGAAACAGTGAGATTTTTGTTTTCTGTCTCAAAAACATTCGCTTTTTATTTTCTGTATAATCTGGCTACAACGCGTATATTCCACGATTATCGCGATAATCCAAGGCAGCAAGGGGGCGGTAGTTGGTACTCGATGTTAGTGATGTTACTGGGATGCTCCTACATGCCACGGCGCAGCTATGCCAGGCCCTTCGATCCTGCACTGCGTACCTTCAGTTAGTACCCACTGTGCCTGTTCGGCGTGTGTATGTGTGCATGCGTGCGTGCGTGCATGCGTGCGTGCGTGCATGTGTGTGTCTGTATCATCGCATTAGGGACCGCCCAAATAGGCGTTTACTTTCTCGCTGGTACGTGACAGCTACTGGTGGGCGGGGCAAGCGACTGGTACCTGTGCATCGGGTTTCATTTTTGCACGTAGCTTATGTGACGGAGAGTCTGATTGTTTATATGGTCACTAAAAACACACACACACCAAACATCTTTCGCTCCATCGCATTCTTCGTTACAGTGAGCGCTTGCTGTTTTGCTTGTATCATTGGCCATGTTTCGCATCTGTACGTCACTGTTTTCAACACAATAGTATTGATTCGATTCGACACTTTGAGGACATCGGTGATATGCGGGGTTGTGGCCCCTTGTCCACTTACCCACCTGTCAAGACCGCCCAACTGCAGTCTCACTAACTGAAAATATGCAGCTTAGGATCGAAGGGCATGGCATAGCTGTGCACTGCGTATGAGGGCATCTTCTAACATCGGACCTCCATATCGTATATCCGCGGGGTTCTTGGTAATCCTGGTAGTTTTTGAATATTTAATCAGAAAACTTTTGCCTGAAGATGGCATAGTTTTCGTTGGATGCAGGGCAAAACGGGGCTGATCAAGGCATCTTTATTCCTGTTGTTTTTCGTAAACCTACCCTTGCCTAACATTTTCGGGTTTCTTTCCCTGTAAATCCTTCAAAAAAGGAAAAATTGACAGGTTTGCATCCGTTTTTTTTTTTGCATTTTTTACTGAGTTTACAAATTTCAGGTTTTCTTTTTCCATGAATGATTTGCAGCACAGGTTGTGTTTTTGGAGGGTGAAGGAAGTTATTATTGTTCTATGCATGTGTGTTTTTTTTCTAATGGAATTATGCGATCTTCTTTTTTCAAACATATATTGCTCTGTCACTCAACCATATTGCAGCTATTTTCATTTTTTTAGTGTTTTTAGAAAAAAAAAAATCTATTTTTAGATGGCTTTACTATGAACCTATTGGTCTGCCGATTCCAAACACACGATTTTTGTCGTTTAAAACACCACTCAGTGATCATTTGCTGACAAAAGTGCCAAAAGAACAAAAATTCAATGCAATAAATCTTTTCCATAAAGTAAGTTACGCAATAATTTCGTCCAAAAAAATTCCCTCGGGAATGCGAAACGTGGTCACTGACGAAAGCTGAAGAGTGAGCGCTGGCTGTGACGGATGGGGTAATATGAAGTACAGAGTGGTTGGATTGTCTCTTTGGGGCCGTTTAAATAGTCGGATTTTGGTTGTCAGATAAGCAAAAAATGCTGGTAAAACCAGATGGGAATAAGTAATAGTTAACGGACGTAACATATTGGCCATTTTGTTGTCTTAGTTGATTATTAAATAAGTAATGTAGATGAAAAAGTAACTTTCGACTCTAACCGATTCTGAAAAAAAATAGTGCCCCTGCATTTTATATCTCAGGAAGAATTAATATTCCCGTATATATTCATTCGCTGTAGGAGGTGGAAACGTTTGAGAAGTAGCCAGATTACTAATAAATTTCTGTGATAACCTGTGCTGGCACGATGGTCGATGGTTCTTTCTTTCGAGAGTTGCTTAGAAGCAAGCTAATGGCGAGTTTGGCTCCCTGGCATATGCTGCTATCGATTTACCACCGAAATGAATGATCGAATTGCATGGAAGGGAGGGGGAGGGGGGAGGATTGTTTTAAGGCAAAATTTGCATGAATTATCTTCTGCAGATATCTGGAAATGGTTTTTCGGTTGGTCTGATAATCGATTTAACGGACACCGATCGCTACTACGATCGCAAAGATATCGAAGGACTGTGTGTGCAGTATGAAAAAATCAATTGTCCTGGGCGAGGTTTCCTGGATCGAGATGATCTTGTTGAAAACTTCTGCACAGTGGTGGACAAATACTTGAAAGAAAATCCAGATAATGGCACGGATTTACTTACTGACTTACTTATTATCGTGCAAATTTATTTACTGATAAATAAGCTAAAGCGGAAAATTCCGAGAATTCTGAAAGGAAGGTAGGAGGGATGGAATCGGAAATTTAAAATGAACAAAAATTATAGTATTTAAAGGTACGGGTAGGGATTATAAGCTCAGTGGATTTATGATGCTAAGCAAGAAACTTGATGCTTAGGGAAAGCTGAGAGGCTTTTACTTAAACTAAAAAATCTCCTCAAAACAAAGAATTAAGTACTTTTGCACGATGATGGCTTTATGAGTTTATGATGTTAAGCGAAAAACTGTATGCTTAGGAAAAGCTGAGAGGTTTTTGCTTGCGCTACAAAATCTGCTTCGAAACAGCGAATTAGGTATTTTTATGCGATGATAATTTCCAGAATTCCTTTCGCAACCCACAAATTAGCCCATGAGGCGTGCCAGAGCCGAGTTTTACTAAAAGCTGGTACTTGTGCCTGCACTTTATTCCAAGTTTTTTGCGCTAAAAATCTTGTTTTTGTGATTTTTTTTTTTTTTTTGTTTTTGACATTGATGATTTACAGGATCCATGATCGGTGTGCACTGTACGGATGGCGTTAATCGCAGTGGTTATTTGATTTGTCGTTATCTGATCGATCGACTGGGCTGGTCCTCGCATGATGCTATTGATGGTACGTGTTTTTTATGCTTAGATGTTTTAGGAGTGTTTAAACGAGGGTTGGTGTAAGGGGAGGAATATCACTTTTAACGAATGCGCAATTTTGTACCGCAAAATTTGACCAGGTGAAGTTTTTTAAGACCACCCCCTTCCCCTCTTCCACCTCAAATTACTGCGAACTAATGTGAATATCTGTACTTCATACCAAAAACGATTATTTTTTTACTCACAGAAGAATGTCCCCTCATTTTCACCCCTTTCTGTTTTCCTTTTTTCTCCCTCCCTTTGCTTCCCTTGTCCCTCTTACGTGTCCGCTGCCCGGGGCTCCTCTCATGCACGTATCGGTCATCTGATGGAAAGGTGCGCTGTTAGAATAAGAATCAACTGAAGTTAAGGCTACAAAACTTTATTTACTTGAATACTTGAGCAGCTGTATGTGTCATCGACGTTCGTTGTTGTCACACCATCGATGCAACTGGCATTTTCTCCATTCGAATCGGTGTTGCGTCCTCCGTGCCCACGGGCGTACTGTGGGGTCTCTCCACCTCACTGGTAGCCTCCCCAGTGTTCGTTTCACCGTACGCGGGTACCATTCCATTATCCACTTGTGCTAAGAAAATAAGCCTCAATGTAGCAGTAGTATCCCTTATCATCAAATTTCATGTAAATGCCTGGCTAATGTTAAATTTTTTTTAGCTTTTGAGCGTGCACGCGGTTATACGATTGAACGTGGATCATATGTGCAGGCGTTGCACCGAGCAGCTAAGGAAAGACGAACAAAAAAGTAAGATTTTTATATTTTTTGGAATTTATTTTTGCATATGTACGCCAGACAGGTAAAATCGCCTCGCATAACTGCACTTATCGTATGGCAACATCACTGTCGCAGGAAAACTCGCGAGAAGCCGGCTAAGAATCCTTCAGTAAGGAAAGAAAGGGAATAAAATAAAGGAAGATCTTGCTTTGAAAGGCAGATACACAGCAGATGTGCTGCCAGGCTGACCGCGGAGGAAAAGGACTGGTGGTGTAGTGGTAACACATTGCGTCCGCACGTGAATGAGATTGGTTCGATTCCCTCCTGATCCGAAACTATTTTTGAGAAGGGACTGTGTTCGTAACAATACTAGTAATATCATTGGCGCCTAATTACCGATTCTTGGTAATTAGGAATGGCATTTTGAATCATTGCAGTTTGATAGTTTTGTTCCTTTTTCTCATCGAAACAATTGGGCAGTTTCTTCATCTATTTCGTTGAAACGATTGCAGTAATGTTACTTCTGTGAATGATTTGATATTTTCACCTCATTTGCAGCTTTTTCATTTTTTTTTTTTCTCAACATTGCCAAGATAACATGTTATTTTTCCACTTTGTTCGTGTTTTTTATTTGCCATCCTCGTCCCATAACTATTCAAATTTTTCTGATTTACAGCGCCAACAACATCACATGGTTGCCCTTCTCAAATATTCAACGGAAACGAAGTTTCAGACGTCATAAGTTGAATGAAGAGGTGGCTTCGAGTGATGAATCAGAAATTCAAAAAATGCTAAGAAAACGAAATAAACACAAAAAGAGGAGGCGTAACGATGAGAATGGTACACCCGATATGGAAGCAGTCCTTAATCAAATGGCTCGGGCTTTTGAGGTACTACAGCCTCAACTTTTAGCCAATAATTTTCAACAATCTCAGGTAAGGTTACCTTTTGCAGCACACTATCATTGCGAGCCTGAACATTTTCGACAGAAAAATTCTTTTTTTTTTTGCATTCACTTTAGCTGCTGAGAAAGTTTTTCGTTGGAAGATTGATTCGACGAAAAAATTTTTGAAAAGCCTTAAAAAATTCGTCTGTAACAGGAAATTATAATAGGAAAATATGGAAAAAAGTGAAAAAGAAAGTTAAGAAACGAAAATTAGAAAATTTATGAGATTAATTCCCAAGATCGCCGGCAAATCTGCGCGATTGAAATATTTGAATAAGACAAATAAAATAAGATATTTTACTGTTAAAAGAAGAACTAATGAAATGTTGAAAATATTTTTAATTGGTAAGAAATGTTTCGGTCCATTAAGTTGTATACATTTAAAATTCCTTAATATCTGGACACCTGCCAACTGATCTATGCAACCGGCATTTTTACTATGGACTACAGGGGTCTTGTGCTTCCCGTTTCCACTATTTAGAATTGTATGGTTTATAGTTCTTTGCATCGGAATACTTACGTAGCACTTGCCTGTCCCATCCTTGGTTCTCATTGCGCCTGCGATGCGGTATCTGTCTCTCCCTGGTGTTTTCTTTCATCCAAATTTGTTGGTAATGTCGTCTGGGCAACACTGAATTAGTGGTTTCAGTGACGGTTCAATTGTTCTGCGACATCTTAAGATTCTTGGCACCCTCTTCCCTTTCGTAATTTTCTCGTCACCATTTTTTACGAAGACAGCTGGAGTCTGCGCAAAATCGAAGGTGATTTCGTTTCAGTATCAGAACTGAGTTATTTGAATATTTTTTTTTAATTTTTCTCTTTTAATTTTTAATTTTCTTTTAGTTAATTTTCTGATTAATTAATAAAATTAATTAATTTTTTAATTGATTAATTGATTGCGATAATTATAAAATTAATATTTAATTAATTAATTTAATTAAATATTAATTTTTCCTCTTTTAGCAACATCAATCGTCATTGAATTTACTTAGCGAGAGCCAACCAAACTACGGTATGGAAGTAAGCATTGGTCCCGTTGATATGCAGCAGCAGCAGCAACAACAACAGCAGCAGCACTCGCAAGGTGCTTCATCCTACCTTTCAGCTGAAAACAGCCCATTTGTTGGCAGTACAGGCACCGGAGAAGATGATGAACTCAGTGCGGAGCAGGTAAATCTTTTTTTTACAAATTTACTCAAAAAACATAACTTTCTTACGAAGGATCCCGGGAAAATCGGTGTTTACAAAAATTTCCCGGGTAATGGGCATACAGATTTGGTGTTATTGGTACTACTCCCCTCCACCCACTAATTCCTAACACTTCTACTATATTCCCTCCATTAATTTTCCCTTTACAAACCCCTTCTGAAAACCTTGGGAGTCGGAGTTTCGAACCCAACACGCGCCTCGCCTTAATACGATTAGCGCTACCAACTGGCCGCCTCGATACGACTAACGTTCTCCCTCCGTTGGATAGTGTGTGCAGCGCCTCGGCTAGTTCCATTGAAGTGAAGCTTTTGTTAGTAAATAAAGCACTGACACTCTTCACTGTCTTCCGCTGCTGCAGTCAAAGATCACGCAGAAACCTAAAAATTGTTCGAACATGGCTATGAATGTGAGAGATCGGAGGTTCGGCTTTTGCGTATGGGATAATCAGTTATGGGGTAATCTGATTGTTTTTCCCCATTCGTTTCGATGGTAAATTGGTACTGATGCATGCCAGAGGCACAGATATTCAGTATTTTGCTTACAGGCAGTTATCAGAATAGGAATTCTGGTTGCTTTTTTCACAGGCGACTACATTTTATATGGGCTTAAGACGGGGGTTTTTGGCCCCCTTTTTCGAATAAAACTTTTTTTCAACCAGTTTTTTTAGGAAATGCAAACGCCGAGTACTGGCGATGAGCCGGACATTGAAGTTTCGAAATCGAAAAAACGGCGCGAGAGACGACTGAGACTGCAGAAACAATTCGCAGTGATGAAAACAGGAAATTTTTGGAAAATAAATGAAATGCAAAAGGAGAAATTTGGTACCTCGTGAAAAAACGTGGCATAAAAAATTTTTTTATTCATTTCATGTTTCGTAAAAGATGGTGCAATTATGTTTTTTGAAGTTTTTTTTTTTGCAAAATTCGGGAAAAAAAGGACAGAAGCATTGGAGCTCTCATGTAATTTTTTGAGAATATTCGAGCGATTTTGCGTTATAATTATTCTACCGTCTTGTAATAGAAAGAATGGAAAAAGAAAAGATGAAAAAAAGGAGAAAAAGAAGGGTAAAAAAAATGAAAATTAAGAAATTTGTGAGATTATTAAAATGGTAAAAAGTACTTCGGTTCATTAAGTCGTATACATTTCTTACCGTTACCACTACCAAACTGAAACACAAAACCACGTGTTTCTGGGTGTCTTGACATGAGTATTTTGGTTATTCTATCGTCTTGCTAATAGTTTTCTGCTGCTAGCATGTGCGATGAATCAAGCTGCTTCCGAATATTTCGACCTGCCTTAGCAAGACGATGAATTCGGAGAGATTTTTGTCCTCCCGATTCGATCTGTTGATGTTTTTCTATCGAATACTTTGTAATTGGCCACTTATTGTGGCACTCACTTATGTGTCAGGTTTGGAGTACTTTAAAAATTGTTGATGTTTCTTAATTTTTTCAATTTCTACAACACTTTTCTCTGTGCATTGTTTTTTTTTCACGGTTCGAAGAGCAAATGTTTGTATTTTTTCACACATTTTCCGTACAAAACTAATAAAAATGTTTTTTTTTTTTGTTTTACAGAATAAATAAAGGATTGATTTTTAACGTTACTTTCGAGTACTTCTGTAACTGGAATGTCGGGTTGAGTCGATTCATGTTCGACTTATGCTGTGATACGTCGTTATTGTACTGACTGAGGTAATTCTGTTATCTCAGCAGTGATATGTTATACTTAAGACACGCGGAGGAAGATCTCACCGATATCCAGAATATTTGGCGCCAGTCGTCGGGACCGTTATTTTGCTTTAATTTTATATTGACAAGGCCCTGTCGCGGTGTTGAGCTAAGGCGTATATGACTTGATGGACCGAAACGTCTTATCTCATTCTTACCCTCTTCCCTCGTACTGTTCTTTCATGCTGTAATCTATCGCACCTTCGTCATTTAGGCTTTCAAGTCAACCTGGTTGCTACAATCGGCTTATTAAACTCCCCGCTATGCTTTATATAAGGGGCTAAAAGATACGACGGGTTTCGCTACCTTTTCAGGTAAAAGGCATCTACATACCGAGATCCCGCACCTCTTCAATTTTCCTTAAATAGTGAGCCGCGATCAGATCCTCCGTTGCTTGTCCTAGAGTCAGCTTTAAGATAGCCATAGTCATTTTCCCAGGGCTGCTGGTCATTGCATCCCTCTTTTTCAGGGCTTCCCGTTCTTTTTCTTGAACTAACGTTGTACTGTAATAAGATAAATAAAATTTTTTATTTTAAAAGAAGGACTAATAAAATGTTGAAAAATTTCTTAATGGCAAAAAATATTTTGGTTCATTAAGTCGTCGTATACACTTCTTACCATTATCACAATTGGATCTCGTCAGTACAACGGCCGTGGTAATTAGTATGAATTTGATTGAAGTGTTATGGAAATGTTAAATAATGAATATCTTTGGCGAGGAGATTGGAAGAGCACGGAGGGCTTGAATTCGTCTATGTGTTAACACATATGCAGTTGGATTAACATTACTAGTCCATCGTGGGGGAGAATACGTAGTAGGTTCATCAGCTGTCCTTTGGGTGATGCTCGAAGTTTTCCCGTTGTTCTCGACTCATCTTGAATTCGAATAACGAATGATGTTCGGATCTATTATTGACGTTATTCCGGCAGGCTAGAACGAAGGCGAAACAAGCAATAAGTAAAAACCCATCCCCTAAAAACAGAGGATACTTGAAAGCGAGTGCATTTTGTGCGGCCAAGCCGGGTTTTACCAATCAGCCTTGCATAGTTTTCAAGGTTCTGGAAATGTTTCGCTTCTCGGTGGCACGGCTTCACTTATTGCATTTGATCAACCAAAAAAACTCAGAATTTTTCGCCAAATTTTCTTTTTATTAAACGCGGGGAGGAAGGAGGGGACTCGAAAAGTAGCTCCACTTTTGTAGCACATGCTAACAGCAACTACCTTTTGTCAAGGCCGTCGATGGTCCTCCTTTCCAGCTTTTCTGGTTACTGGATTAGCAGTTTCCCTGCCAAAATTTCACGAGCCCGTACGTGAGAATCACACACACACATCTTGGGGCTGAATTCCAAAATTTTTAGCTGACACGTACAGAGAGAATATTCCTGCAAAGTTTCAA